AGTGATTTGGACTGTGGCAGAAGTGCTCTCACCTGCCTTTAAGAGAACAAACTCATCCTTTGTAGGAGGGGCACAACGCATATCAATACCTTGATATTCGAGTGGACGACCGTCAAGAGAGACAGAGACAAATTCAGAGTAAAGTCCTTCAAGAGGAGTGTTACGTTTCAGTAGATAAAGGTCCTGATCTGCATTGTTGGTAAACTCAAAAGAGCAAGCAACTGCAGAAAGAGCTTTATTACAAGCCATGTCAAGAGAGACTGGCCAGCCATTAGCACTGCATGTACAAGAGAAAAGTAACATTGATTTGATACTGTAGTAACATACCTGAGAGCACAGGTCAGGTAAGTAACCAGACAGAAGAGTGAGAGTAGAGTCTTCATGATTCCTTTCCTTGATAGACAGTATTCCTTGTTCTTATGAGATGATTTCTTGTTTTAGTGAGAAGTGATTGACTGCTGCTTGTCACCTCCTTATATACTATTAGGTACCTCATCAATATTCATTAGCAATTAAGCAAAAACTGACCAATCAGAGGCTAGCTGCATGACATGATTCTGGCACGAGACCTAAAGCTATAGAATTGAATGTGCTATAGTCCAGTTGAGGTGTCAATCTAATTATAGTGACTAGTTGTCTTTCTTGTCAGACAAGACTACTATAATGAAGTACCTCAATACAAGGATGTGCTTATAACTCATATGCATGTTGTGCTCTTATGGAATGAAAAGTGGACTATAGTATGCATACAGGATACATTGATTGATTGAGACAATGCTAATTGATAAAAGTTGGCTTTTTGTCAGACAAGATGATTATAATGAAGTACCTCAATACAAGGATGTCCTTATAATGTTGTGCTCTTGTGGAATGAAAAATGAACTATTATTACAGATACAAGTTACATTGATTGAGACACTGTTAATTGATCAAAAACTTCTTTTGCCACTCTAAATAAACTTGTGGTCAAAGTACAAGCATTCATTTTGAGGAAGCTTAACTGTTTTTAACTATTAATAAAACTTTGAAAACAATTTTGTATTTGAATTTTAGCACTATTTGATTTTTTTCATTCAAATGTGCATAAGTTCTATTATTAGATTGATAAGTGCATTTAATTGACTGAACATTACCTGTTGCCTCTCCAGTGTACATTAGATAAGAAGTTGTTTACAGTGTACAGTGCAGTGTATCCTTGTATTGAATATAGTAGTCATGTGCAACAAGGAAGCTACAGTAGCTACTAGTTGCTATAATTCCAGATACAGCCTTTTGCACAAAACTTGCATCAGTCTGATCATGTGACTTCATAAAAATATTAATTTAAGCCTATGGCTAATCATCATTTGACTAGAACTGGTGGTGGCAAGTTTCTGCAAAAGGCTGTAGTCATGGTATTAGGTATAGCCACTGAAAGTATGTTCAAGTTGGTAGGCTCATTAAAATGAATGACATATTCAGTAAACTATCACCTATTGAAGTGTCTGGCAACTTGTGAATGGATACATGTAGTTTTCACACTCTAGAAGCTGAGTAGACTATTCAACAGTTGAAGTGTCAATCCAAATTACAATGATGTCTGCATAAGAAGTCAAGGAAATAAAGAACACACATTAAACTAACCTATGTATAATTCCCTTGGATGATTTATAGAGACGCTATTGAGAGTTCCAAGTAGCTTGGAACAAGCTAGTTATTGCTCAATGCATTGCTTTGACACAAGTCATTTTAGTACACTACGTGACATACACACAATGTAATGCATAACTATACATGCACAGTAGAGACAATCAATACTTCATGGCTTGTTTAAAGCTGGTGGTGGTCAAACAACCACCTGAACAAATGAACCAACCAGTTCATCACTTAGACCAACCATGCAATTAATACTAATAACCATAAATAAAGCATGATACTGTAGTCTAATAGTATAGTGTACATAAATTTAAAGGGAACAATATTAGTCTCCAACCACCTCTAATTTTTTTTCTAAGGAGAACCTTACATAGTATAGACAATCTATTAATACTTCATGGCTTGATTAAACAATGTCTCTGCCTATGACATTGATGTTTTAGTGTTAGCAAATATAATGGAGTCTTGGTGTTAGTTATTGTAATATTATGAGATGAGATTAATAGTGTTGTCTTGATACTTGTTGCATGACTATATCAGTGTATATCAATGATTGTTAATGATTGCTGATTACATTGCTTTAACAAAATTAGTTATTTCAGTACACCAGTAACACCACATACACACAATGCATAGCTATTCATGCACTGTATGGACAATCAATACTTCATGGTTAGTTTAAATCTGTCAAACAATGTTTGAAGGTGTTCACACTATTTAACTCCTTGGGTTTTGCCCAAGAACATTGATGACGTTCATGTGTTAGTTATTGTAATGTTTTGTGGGATGATTGTTGTATTAATACCTGTTGACTATAGCGGTGTACTTTAAGCACACAGCAAAGAAGCCAGTTAGTCACTATAATTCCAGATAGTCATGGTATTAGGTATAGCCACTTAAAATATGTTCAAGTAGGTAGACTCATTAAAATGAATGACGTATTCAGTATACTATTCACCTATTGAAGTGTCTGGCAACTTGTGAATAGATACATGTACATGTAGTTTTCACACTATTGGCTTAAAGCTAAGTAGACTATATATTCAACAGTTAAAGTCTTTGCCTATGACAATGATGATAATGATATCAGTGTAGGTCACTTGTACTTTAGCACACAATACAGTACTCAAGAGGTGCATTAATTGGAGCTAGTACCATATCATTTTTTTGCAGCTTTGGGAAATAATCAAAAAGCTCTTAATTTTGTACATGTACATGTACACTTATAATTTTTTTCATGATAATAATTTTAATTATTTTTTCTTAAATTTATTTTTAGTGTAAATTAAGTACCGGTCACTCTGGATGGAAGACACTGACTGTCCCTGCAGATATTCCTGACATTTCATTGGTCAGATTTGAGTTACGAGGCTCTCAGAACAACGTAAGAGCGAGACAAGTAGCACTACTGGAGTATCCTGAGCTCACCCACTCAGCGTCCAATGGAGCTGTGAATAGTGAACTGGCTATGCAGAAGGATTGTGAAGCAGAGGCTCTGAGACTGTTCAGATTATTGACATCACAAGTAATTTATTATTATTATTATTATTATATTGTTGTTGTTGTTGTTCTTGTTGTTATTGTCATTCAAAAGGACATAATTATTTTTTGGGTGATGGCCTTGTATTTTGATTTGTGTTAATTTGGTTGGTAGCTTTTTGGAAAAAAGCCAAAAACTGTTTGAAGAAATTAGTGAATGAAAAGCCATGCCTATACAAAACATGATGTACATGTACATGATGTAGACCTCTAGCATTGAAATTTAATGCATAGAAAATGTATGTACATATACATGCATGTATAACTGATAGTAGTAACTTTTGTATTCTTTTCTCCAACTCCTTTTCTCTTCCTTCCTCCTTCCCTCCCTCTCTCTCTCCCTCCATTAGGTGTTTGGTGGTCTATTAGACACTCAACATAAACCCACAGAACAAAGAGAAGAGACTGACACTGGAGACCAGTCAGAAGGAGGAGGAGGAGGTGTAGGAGGAGACGAGGAAACCTCATCAATGGCCAACATATTATTCAACAAAAGCAAACTATCAAATCTACAAAAAGCAGTCTGCCAGCATATAATGGACTCGGTCCATAAAGAGACTATAAGAATCAAAGGAGAGTGGGAGGAGGAACTTAAAAACCCGAAACCAACTGCTACACCTCCTTCACGTCAAGCCAGTCAAGATCCTAGTTATGCTGAAGAAGGTTCTTCTCCTTCTAAGAGTCCTGATGCCTATTGCTCTGAACTATTGACAATGTTGAGTGGGCTGAGTCAGAATGAGTTGGGATGTGCTTATCTTGCTGATCAGGCACAACTAGTGAAAGATCTCACTTCTTTATTGCACACTGCTTCCACCAAAATACAATTACAAGTAATGATATGATTAACTTGTTTCATTTAATTTATAGTTATGCTAAATTGAGTGATTGTTCTCTTTTTTATTCTCAATATTTTTTCTTTATGCTCCTCTCTCCCTCCCTCTCTCTTCTTCTCTCTCCCCCCCCCCTCTCTCTCTCCTCTCCCTCCTTCTCTCTCTCTCTTTCCCTCCCTATCTCCCTCTCTCTCCTTATCTCTCCCTCCCCCTCCCTCTCCCTCTCTCTCTCCTCCCCCTCTAGGTTTGTTCTCTATTAAGGTTCATACTCCCCTACATTAAACCAAGGGAGTTTGCCACAATGACTGATGTTACAGTACTCCCTCCTCTTGGCTACAGTGCTATTGCTGAGGCAGTTAATTCAGCCTCTACCATAAACCAGTTAGGATTACTGGACTGTCTGCTAGCAGTCATTGCTAAGGCATTATCTGTGCAGGTGAAGGTGAAAGGACGTGGTTCTAATATTCTACAGGTAATGAACCAGTTATTTATAAGTTACAAATAATCATAGTATGTCATCATACCATGTACATTTGTACATAGCTATAAAATTTGAAGTGTTGACTAATTGCTTTTTAAATGGTGTGGTGATTAATTTTTTTAATTTATAACATAAATTTTGCAGGCTTTTTTGGAAATGTGTAAGATTTTTAACCCCCTACATTTCTGTGCTATATTGTACATATACGTGTGTATGCATCAAATATCTCATATATTTCATTCCCTCTCTCTCCCTCTTCAGAAGTTAACTGGTGATTCAACTATTACTGCTGCAGTTACTTTGGCTGCTCTTAAAAACCCTAAGCCGGTAGCAGGAGAGACTCACGTGAGACCCCTCCGCTGGTATTTGCAAGGATCTATTGAGCAAGAGGTGGCAATTGAGATTGTTAAACTTTTGAAAGACATGACCAAGGTATAATCAATACACTGGTAGCATGTACATATACATACATGTACATGTACATATTTAGCGTAAAGGAATGTGTGTTGCAGCTAGAGTTGAGGCTAGAGAAACAGATATGCTGCTTGCCATAGAGCGCTCACATTTACCTCGAGTTGACACCCAAACACTGATCAATTAAAAACACAGCATGCAATATATATTAAGAGATATCATGAATATGCATGAGATGTGATGTCATGAGTTCACTACACATACATGTACGTGACTACGTGTATATTCTTTTTAGAAATGACTAAAAGTTCATTCACATATTAATGCCCTCATGCTACATGTACATGTAATGTACAATATGCATGTAAACATTTTTTTACACTTTTACATGTATATGTACATTTTTCATCAAAATGACTTTATTATAAACTCCCTGATTCACATTGATGCCATCATTGACTATTGTACATGTACAGTAGATGTGTCACTAATTAAATTGTTTATTAATTAATTTTATTATTTCTTTGCCTCACAGTCTGTGCTGAAAGGACATTGGAAAGACTATGCCAAGTCAGCCATTGGACAAGCTGTCCTCCATTTAACTAAAGTTAATGAAGAAGCACGTAATGCTGACCCAGGAATGTACTCACATACTGTAAGAGAGGGAGAGAGGGAGGAGGAGGGAGAGAGAGAGAGAGAGGAGAGAGAGAGAGAGAGGGAGGAGGAGGCCTGGAGAGAGAGAGAGAGAATTAAGAGGTAGGACAATTGAGTAATGCATTGTGCATCATACTCTTATAATCTTATTGCTATTTTCATTTTCTCTATTCTTTATTTTCTATCTCTTTCTTGCTAGTTTTGGTTGTGCCTTGCTGCTTTGTGTGTCATTGATGAAGAACATGCTGAAGCTTTGTCATCAGGACAATGGCTAGGACAAGATGGAAAACCGCAAACTAAAGTGAAAGAGAGAGAGAGAGACAGAGAGACAGAGAGAAGAAAAGGTGATGTAGGTAAAATTAAAAGGTGATAAATGAGGACAAAGGAAGGGTTTTGTCAATTTTGCTTAGTTTAACTGCTTTTTTTACTCCTTCTCTTTTTCTCTTCCTCTACAGCCTCTGTGTGATAATCACGATGATGGCGAAACTAAAGCTCTTATATTGTGTGATGTGTGTGGTAACCTTTGTGGTGAATGTGACCGTGTGCTTCATTATCACAAGAAGAATCGTCACCACAATAGACAAGTGAGTGAAGGAACTTCATTGTACACATGTACATGTACGTAAATACTAGTATAATAATAGTCAGACA